ATATGAGTAGTCTAATAATTATTTATGACAGAGGAAGACTAACTGGTTAGTTTTTTTTACTAATTTTCAGCGTGAACTTTACTTTATAATGACTCCTTCCTCTGAGTATGTCTATAATATGACAGGTTAAAACCCAGGACAGGTTACCCAAAGAAGAGTGTCTCGAAGACTACGTCAATCTGAATGCTAAAATAAAAGTAAACGACGGCAAATCACACCGAACCCACAGTCATCCTTTGGTGAAGATCGACCTCCTTCATCCTACACTGATATACCTAAATATTCTCCTAAAACCGTTATTATACATACATTCTAACTAGCTTTTCCGAAAGACTAAAAGCCTCAGCATCTTCTCATTGCATTATTATATAATGGCTTCGAACTTCTATGCTTGCTAAGCAGGCATAAGTTGAGGAGAAGATGTGAAGACCAAGATGTTGTGGCCTCGGGTATGGTCGCAGTCTCCTTTCGACTTATAGAAGTGGGTCGACCTCGTTGTCGCAACTTGGCAGACGACTTCGGACTCGGTGCGTTCTACATAGTCTCCCTGAACACAAGACCAAGTTGCGACAACGAGGTCAACCCACTTAAATAAGTCGAAAGGAGACTGCGACCATACCCGAGGTCACAACATCTTGGTCTTCACATCTTCAATATAGTCGGTTAGTTGAGGAGGCCTGAATGAAGCCAATCTACTTTGACACTTTCTCTCCTATTTGGTCTTGGATGGTACCCATGTCATTCCTCACAACCATTTCCCTACCGCCGATAATAACATCTAGACATTTCTGAGACTGGAAGATTTTCGAAGTAACTTCTACTGTCTCTCTCTTGAAAGCCGATTATACAGTGCATATAGCAGACTGGCGCAAACAACTTTTTAAACCAATACGTTGGGGATTTTATAGCCAATCCTTCTTTCAGGGTCTACGCTGTTTACTATTTCATAGAAAAAATAGCGAAATTACTTAGCCTTTAGATCTAGCTTACATCTGCTCCTCTAAAGCTTCCTAAGACGCAATAAGCCTTATTTGGCCTAGATTAAGCGTAAAACTGATGTGAGCCTGATTAAAGACCGTCTTATTAAGAATACATTATTCTATTTATCAAGCCTACGCCATTTACGCTACCTGACCAGTGAATATTTAATACTTGGAGGACAATTTGTGGGTGCAAAAGGCCATGTACAAGTATTTTTATCAAGGCCTCAATCGAGCTCATTTAATCCCGGTGATCCTGACAATGTTGATGAGACTTATCAAATAATATTCAGCCACTCTTACTTTGGCATATCAGTTCTAAGAAACTATAAAGTTGCTGGCAATTATTTCTAGTTGCAAACTTATAAAGGCAACTAGTTTACTCAATTTCATTTGTATCTAATAAGTTCTTTACGCAAATTATTTTCTTTTTGCGGTGAATTATATGTATTAATTTAGTTAAACTGGGAATAGGCTTATTTTTAATCTCTAATGTACACATCAAAAAGCCCTTTTCATATGCATGCTATTATAAACTTGACAATTCCAGGACTGCGTTCTCTTTATAAAGGTGAATTTTCCAGCTATGCTCATTTAGAACCAATTTATGCTTTATTCTTGAGTATTTATACCTGGCCCTAATTTAATATTCTCTACGATAGATTTACCAAATTTCAGGTGAATTTGTTTAGTGAATTATTTCCTAGGCTTCAGGAACACTTAGATATTTGGTTTCACCATAATCTTGTTTACCTGGTTTTGGTTGAACCCTAGTAAATGTAATAGCAGAATCTCCCACTCGTATTAATTTTTCTGGGACAAACTTATGCTTGTTCACTTGCTTCTCACTTTTTTGTTCCTACTTTACCCTATGCTTTTTTCTCCTTTCTTTCCCTTGTATCAACTTTCCGTCCGTTAAGCTCTGGCGCTCTGGCTTCAGCATCAGCAATTCTTTGGCACCCCATATGCTTAATGGTGATCGCATTAATGCGACTCTTTACTATTTGCTCAGCAATACTCCAGACATTCTTTCAATTTCATTCCAATCGACCTCTGCTTTCTTTCCTGATGCCAACTTCAACAAAAAGCCAGTGGCTGCTCGACAGCCCACATCCATCCAGCGTCCTTTTCCAAGTGTAAGTCATCAGAAACAAGCGGATAAGCCAGTTGTAAATATCACTAAGAACTCTGAAAAAGAAAACAACTCCAATGGTTTCGTAGTTGAGAAAAGAGAGAAAGAGACTGACGATGGTGCCAATTTTGACTCCATTACGGCTGCCGACACTAGGATAAATCTAGCATCGCAACATGTAACTTTTAACGACATCGTTTATCTCCATCCTCATCAATTACTTTCAGCCTTTCGGGAGGAGGTAAAACCACGACAGCGTCGGTTTGCTCTTCCTGATCGAAAAATATCAATGAACCGCACGATGAGCGCTCTTCAACGCCAAGCGTTACAGAAGCTCTTGCAGTCTGGAAAATGTTTTCGGGGCAGCGATACTCTGTACGTTGTAGTCTAATTGTTATATATATATTTTTTTAATGTTTTATTTAAATAATATCATGGCTACCTTCGATTAATTCATTTTTTAATCTGGGAAATCCACTTTTGGCATTAATCGAGCTTTACTTTATACCTTCATCCACAATTATGCAAGCAACAGGGCGAAATTTTGTTTTCAATTTTTTCTATGTTGTTTTTTATTTAAAGCTAACGATGAAAAGTATGTTATTTAAATATAAACGGTTGGGAATGCTGATGAGACTTAGACTGAGTCAAAACTGCATTCCACTTAGAATGTGCACACCTTTTGGGAAGCTAGGCTGAGCGAAAATCATTTGCATCGGGAGGTCTTTTTAGCTCATTGTGGGAAATTCGGCTATCAAACCCTAAATCACCTTTTTCGTCCTCTTATGGCTCAAGTTTTTATTCAAGATATACTAGTTGTTTCAAAGCACACTCGGCTTATATGATTAATTATGCATGACTAAGGCATTCACTTTTGATAGAGTATGCATTCTGTACTTTGTGAGCAATTCACTTTCTATTCTTATTGGATTTTAAATAATATGGACTGTAAATGGACCCATATTGGGTCTCTTTATAACGTTTAGCTACTATCTCTTCGCTCACCTTAATTCAATTATATTTTTGTTTTCCTTCATCTAATATGTGTTTCCCGTATAGGGCCATATTCTACTGATGTCTGAAGACTTTTTTTATAGATAGGCACATCAAAAAGACGCGTTGAACTGCAAATTGAATTATTGAGTTGTTCATAAAATGCTAATAATTTCAACCGATTTGCTGGTCATGGTGTTGTTTACGTTTGATAGTTCTGTCGACAAAGGAGATACATGAGCCGATTTTCGCATTTAAACTTTCCTTGTTTAAATTGTCAAATTTTTACTATCTGCGCATTTAAGTGCCAATAGCTGCCTAGGACTTCTACATGTGAGAGCGATAGGTTTATGACTATCATATTCTAACCTGCCTATGGTTTAAGAATTCCAGAAAAAAAAAAATTTCATGTTTATTTTTGAGAATATCGTCAATTATTTGATTTAATTGCAATGCTATTTTGGGAGTCTCGTTGATTTTTCGCAACTATGTTTCTTTTTATGCTAAATTTTGCCAGTTTTCTTTATTTTTGATATTAGGTTTTAACAGAATTTATTTCAACCAAGAACATATTTCTCATTTAAAAATCCCGTAATTATAGTAAGACGAATCTAGTTGTTTGGGAAAGTTATATAATGTTTTCTCATACGGTTCTATCAAGCTTGCATTTGCTTCGAATGCTGGTTGGGCTTCTCCGTAGATCGTTTGCCTGTTTGATTTCTCTCCTGAATTAGTGGTTCTTGTTTTATAATTCTCCCATGGGATTAGTCGTTCATGCATGTTTGAGTTTTAAAATTAACTTTATTATTTTATCTGTTATGTCGGCTAATTT